AAGACCTTAAGAAGTTTGGAGGTTTCGACGACGGCTCCGGTGGCGTCTGCGAACTTCGGGTTGTTGCCCAGCTTTGTTGAGGACATGTTGGATGGCCAGTTCATTCCCTTAGTCCATGGTGGAGCAAACAACGCGCCCATTTTCCATCAATCCCTCCAGGTTGTGTGGTCCTGTTGGGGAAAGGTCACCACAAATGTCGGCCAGGCGCCCCCTTGGGCCCCTTGGGCCCCTTGGGCCCCTTGGGCTTGACCATTCTCTGTGATGTCCCAAGGGCGGCCGCATGGCATGTCCATGATGGCTGGGTCGGTCAAAACACCGTCGCACCATGCCCCCCCCACGACGACATCGAGGACCAGGGCTGTAGAGGAAAATGCTCTTCTATTGGGGCTAGGCCATCCACTTCCAGTTTGTGAGTCAGAGTGTAAATGGGTTTCCAGAGCAAGACTGCAAGTGCGGAGCACAGTCAATTCTACTGGGATGGGAACTATGATTTGTCCACTGTTGTTACACGAACAAATGATTTCTTTTAACATGGAAAGGAAGACCATGAAATCCTCTACAAACAGGGGTGAACTCTACTTCCATGCTAGTTCAGGGAGTGTATATACCCGCTGCCAGAAAGAAAGACGTTGTTTGGTTGAAGCCCAGCCTTGGCTAATTTTTCTCTCAGGTTGAAAACAGCGCAAGCCACGCTTTTGCTTGCCACTCCGCTTCTTTTCATTTATTTGTGCAGCGAAAGCTACTATGACTGCAGTCCTCCCTTGTGGCAAACGACCTCTGCAAATCTCCAAGCAGAGCCTTTGGCAGACTTTTGTGTCATAGCCTGTTGGTGCGCAATGCTTGTGCTGTTTCGCACAATCATTGCCAGCATGCCAGCCAGCCGGAGGGTCCAGAGCGAGAGATATGGGAGCATGGGTGGATTTACCTGGGCCTATCTCTTTTTGCGAGCTCGGAGATTTCTGGTGTGGCTGCTCTGGTTTGGTGTTGTAACGGTTTTCTCTTTGCCATCGGTGTTGTATGCGTTTGCCAACTCCTTGCCCGCGCACAACACGTCTGGCATCAATGATGCGATGCTGAATTTCATCCACAGAACTGCGCCTGTCCTCACGGTGTTGATCGACATGGTCCTGGTCGTGAGAATATCAACCAAGTACTCAAGGCTAACCGGAATCAAGGCAGATCGATTGGTGATGACGTTTCGCTTGTTTGCCGCTTGGCTGCTGCCGCTGCTCATCACCGTCATCTTGGATGAGAACTGCATTTCTGGATGGAAGTGGACGTGGACGGTTTGCCAAGCAGAATCTGCACAACACCGGATTTTTGATTGGACCATCTACAATGAAGAGATCCTGAACACGCAACGCGATATTTGCAATCTGAGCGAGACTTGGTGGTCGGACGGCCGCTGCAGCCGTGCCATCGTGGGGAATTTGACGCCTTTCTTGCTCAAGAAGCTGCTCACGCGAAGCTTTCTGCAGCCGCTCATCTTGCTGTCGCTCTGGCGCCTTTCGCGCCTGGAAGATCGACGCGACGGCTCCAAAGGACGTCATCTTCGATTTCTTGGAGGTCCCAAAGGCCATCCTCTACAACTCCTCGGTGTGGGTCGTCGCACGAGCGGATCGCTGGTGCCCTTGCAGCAAATGCCCTTCCTGACGACCCTGATGGAATTGCTGATGTTTTGGACGCCCTTTGTGCCATTGCTGAGCCTGGGCGTCCTCAGTGCCAGCACCGTGAACATGCTCATCTTCGACCTGGGCGTGTGGCATTTCAGGGTGCAACTTCCAGACGACGAGGTGAACCGCGCTGCCGGGCTGTCCGGATCATATTTGAGCTTTGCACAGATTGCTGGGAGCAGCCTCCAGCTGTGGCATGCCTTCAGCAGCAACATGCATGGGAGGTACATGCTGCTGACCTTCAATGTTCTGGTCATAAACCCATGGGCGAAATGCTTTTTGCCTCTCGAGCGGGCGAGGAAGCTGTTTTGGGAGCCCCTGAGCCGAGTGCAGGAGATGGTCATTGAGATTCCTCAAGCTGGTGAAGCTCAGGTGCCGGGAGAAGCGGAAAGCATACTTATGAAGAACATGGAAAAAACAGAACATCTGGACATTGTTTTCAGACCAGTTCTTGAGTTTCATCTTTTTGGTCCTTTGTCTAGCGGTTTCCATGTTTCTTTACATAATGTTACACACTTTAACTTTAATCATTGCAGGTAGCCGGTTCCTGTCATGGCCACGGTGATGTGATGTCAATGTCTTGTTCGGGAAATCCCATCATGGAAACTGGGACTGAAAACAGTGTCTGTGGGTCAAGACACTGCAAAACAACTTCTTGGTCAGTATTTTGTTACTTCACTCTGTACTCTTTGTACACTCGGACTGAACAGGTTTTCTGTCAAACCATCCGGCTCCTCGCCCAGCCTGTCAGTGCCACCGTGCGTATCTACGCTCCACCGGACTGGAGCTACGCAGCTACGCAGCGAATCGAGGGGGTCCAGGACCCTGCGAAAAGCAGGGTCCTAACCATCCATAAGAGGTCCAATGTGTAGCGTCCTTGCTCCTGGTAGTAAGGCCAGGAGCCCCGAACGTAGCGTCCCTCCATAAGAGGTCCAATGTTGCTTGGAGTGGGGACCGAGGGCAGCAGTTTTCACCTGTGACTCCCTTGACCGGTGCAGCATCCGACCACATCTTCCACCATTGTTGGGGGGGGAGTAATAAGCACCTGGAACCCATGTCACCCTTGTTTTGATAAACACATACGCCATATTTTGGGGTGGTCCAAAATAGAGGTCATTGCGGTGATTTCAAGACTGGGTATCCAACATCCATCCATTTCAGAGGTCTCTCCCGGCGCACCGGATTCTCCGCCGGATGGGGGCCTATTCAGGTCCAAAGCGAACTTTGAGATGGTCTCAGACATTGCTCGAAGCGGATTCTTCTGGGTGTTCTGCCAGGCTACTCCTACTGGACCGCGTCTGTTCAATGAACGAAAAGGAACGAGGGTCGCCGACCGCGGCCGTGGAACGGGTTGGCCCGACGGTCCGCGGTCGTGCAGCAGGTCGCGTCGGAAGCCAGAGCTCCAGGGGTCCCAGGGGGTTGGCGCCCGCGCCATCGGTGTGCAGTTCTGCGTCTCGGCAGTGCCTTCGGCGCTCCACCGGTGCCCCCGAAAGCTGATCCGGTCCGAAAGGCACCGAAGTGGGGTCTCGTCCGACCCCCCCCAGCTTCGATGTGGAGCACCGGAAGTGGAAGTGCTTGAGTCACCCTAAACCCGAAACCCCTGGTTGGGTGGAGGGAAAATCGTCCCCATCGGACCCATTACGTCAGGGTCTATGATAGCTTTCGGGAGTGTAGTCATCAATTGAACTGCTGAAGCTGGGACCAGATCCATCGAGCCTTCGTCGCCCTCGTCCGCAGCGAGCGCAGCGAAGAGCTGCGAAGAGCTGCGATGTCGGTACTGATTCAATCGAGTGACCGGCGACCGTTCAGGCTCACCAAGAGACCTGGAGGTGCAGGTTCTTCCTTTTAGGGGTGTGTTTCTTCACCCGGCTGACAGGGTTCGGAACCCCCTTCGGACCCCCTCCTCGTTCTCCGGACACGGTTCAACCGTCAAACCTCATGCGAACCACACTGGGTCTCACCCCCAAGCACCGGAAAAGCATTGGATCGGAGGCCGCGGAAGATCCCGTGCGCGACGCTGGGACCGTGCGCGCGGCCAAAATCCGAGTGCGGAGCCAACAGAGGTGGGTCAGGACCCGAACTAGGCTATCCCAGTTCGGTACCCTAGGTTACGGGTCCTATTTACGGTCACTGTCCACCTCTCTTGGAGGTGGTACTGGTTTCCGATGGGGGCCACCCTTCGGCTTCACGATTCCGGGGGAACCAAGTGCTGGGAGAGTCATTGTTCCTTGTGAGACGAAGGCAATTTTGGGCGGAGGAGTTCCTGACAACTGCCCCAGCCACAGCAGGTACTGTAGATTTTCACTTTCGATGGTTGCTCGACTACAGAGCTGAACACTGCTCAGCTCTGTTCGACAAGAAGATCGAGTCTGTCGCATGTCATCCAGCACCACGGAAAGAGTGTCCATTAATAGCCCCTTAGAGGTCAAGGGGTGTCCATCAACCACCCCTTGGGGGTCCAGGATGAAGATCGTCAGTGCTTTTTCCCAGTTTTTCCCCTCTCTAAGTGACTGGGCCGACACCGCACCGCACCGCACCATCCACGCGACGACTGGGGACTGTCGATGGACTCCACCCCGGCACCATGGTCCAGTCTCGTTCACCACGCCCCATCGCCACGAGTTTTCGTGAACGCCTAGCAAAGTGGTCACGTCAGACGGTGACGGGAAGTGGGTGACCGGTCCACCCGCGCTGGGGTCGTTCAAAGTTAGGGAAGACCTGGCGTGAAGAGGTGACCCCTGAGAATTGACCGATGGTTTCGACCATTTCACCCTGGAACTTTCATGTTGACTTGACTCATTTTACTCCACCTGGTAGTCATACCATGAGGGTAAAATGAGTCATGACTGGACTTTTAGGGTTCGCTTTCCCATTGTTCCAAAGGTTTGTGACTTCTGCGTGCTTTTCCACACATTTTTTCGTGGTGTTTTGACCGGAGCAATCAATCCGATTTGGGTCCCATTCCAGAGCCCTTCATGACTTCCAGCAGGAATTGAGTCACCTTGGGCGGTCGCAGTGTGCTCCAGCTATTCAAAACGGTGGCAATGTAAGCTTTTTTCGTGTGGTCACCGACAAATGGCTCACCGTTCCTATAGGGAAAACTTAGAGCGGCTCAGCATTCGCATCTCTTCGCTGCCGACGGTCGGATTGCATGTGTTCCCATCGTTTCTCGGGCTCAAGCCCCGAGCGCGTTCCAGAGGGGGGCATGTCTGATGAACGCGCAGAATTCGCGGCATGCCCAGCTCAAAACTCTGATCAGACATATCACAGGTTCGGCACGTTGTGACTCGCAAGGGGGCTGGAATTTGGACAATCCCAGGGTCAACTTCAGGCCAGAAGTGGCAGCGGCTTCAGAACAGTGGCTGCGACACCCAGAATGAGAGAATGAGACGACTGCGCTTGGAAGCACCAAAACACCCACTGAGGTGGCAAGATTGTAAAGATTCTTGATAGATGACCACCGAAGAGTCCCGAATCGAAGAATTGAAGTGCATCTCAACCCCCCGATAAGCTCAACCTCACCGGTGTCGCACCCAACCGACCACACCGGGGTTGACACCACCGCGTTGTTCGCGCGCGCCATGCTCCTGGAGACGGCTTCTCGGAACCGACCGGGTGGGGTTCCGCGCGAGCCGCGAGACGCCGGTGGTCGGTCGAAGGGGGGCGACGTGTCCCGGTCGAAGGCGAAATGGACGAGTTGCTTTGGGTGAGTAGCGATGAGAGAAGGCGATAAGAGAAGGCGATGGGTCTGGGCAATGGGCGACCAGCCTTGCCACATCCATTCCAGATTGAGGAAGGTTGACTCTTGATGATACAAGCCGCCAGTAGTGAAGGGGTTTTACCATTTATGCCTGGGGGATCCTCAAAAACCTTTATGCTTTTCTAAGAGTCCATTTGGTGGGCCTCTTTTCTTTTTATTTCTTGTGGTGTCTTCGAGTCCAGGGGCGGTATGGAGTCCTCAGGCAGGTCTCGGACCCAAAGAACCGAGACGGCGTGTTCTCGCTGCTGCGCGGCTTTGACCTGCGCCGCCGCTGCCGGAGGTTTCCGAAAACGGAGCAAAACGAGCAAACCAGACGACCTGAGGTCCGATGACATGTTTGGAGGATTGGGCGGAAAGAAGGAGGAGAAGAAGGAGGAGGACGACCAGAACGAGGAGGTCGGAACGTGTTGGACCGTCGACCGCGCGTTCCCGCCGTTCCTCGATGGCGGGAGACGTCCCAGAGATGCAGTCTCGGTGTGCCGATTCTGATTAGAAAGGTTTAAGTCTCCTCACCTTTTCCAGGTTTCTGGTGCCAAGTGGCTCAGAGTCAGCTGCAAAGATGAAGACCCCGGGGGCTTGGATGATCTATATTTGCCAGGAGGAGTCATCGGCTGTCACACATGACCTGTATCGGCTCAGCTCGGGCACTTTTACACGGCCCAGCATCTTCCCTTACAATCGAACCAATTCTTCTTCCCAGACGCGACCTCCGTTCAAACCAGCTCTTTCCAGGTCCCTTCACCAAACCCTATAGGGATTGGGTGAGAAGGTCCGGACCCCTCCAGACACTTTCGGGTACGACCCCCGGTCCCTGAACGCAGGGTCAAACGGGTCGCACGCCATGGCTGGCCTGGCCTCCAAGCGTTCGTAGCGGGGAGGCCATCCAAGCTAATAGAGAGAACACCTCTAACCATGGCCTCCATGCTTATTTTACTGACTGGTGGAGACCATGGCCTCCTTGGTTCCCTTGGTTCCTTTCAACGCTGGAAAAGTCTTGTCTTCAACACCTCCCACATGAGCGGATGGACCAATTGGGGGATCGCCAGCTTCGATGCAACCGAAGGGAACAACTGAAAGACCGGCAGAATGGGTTGACAGGAGAAGCCTGAAGATGCGGCAGAAGGTGGTGGTGATGATGATGGAGGAGGAGGCATCTGAAGTCTTCGCTGAATGGTGGGGGAGCTGTTGGCGCAAATCCGCTGAAGAGAATAGGCGCCGAACAATTCCAGGTAGGCTGAAGAAGGGTTCCCACAACATGTAGACCCAGCAAATGATGATTTCCAGCATGTTTTCGACAGAAGAGGTCCCTTCTCTATTTATTTGGCAATCCCTCTCTTGTGTTTGGGAATTCGCGGCTTGACATCGACGGCTATCAGAACCCCCCCGGACTTCCACTTCGTTTGTTGAATCAAGCAGAACCCCCGGACTTCCACAGAGCTCCTACACTCTTTCGAGCCAAAAGACGTGCGAAAGAACTCTCCCATGGCCATGTGGCACCAAACTCGCAGATGTAGAAGTGTTCCCATCATCAGAGGAACATAAACCCTCTAGCCTTATTTCATCCGATCATCAGAGGAACCTCGTCGTCGATGGACAGTTCTTTTTCTCCTGCAGGAACAGCCGGCTTAGACATGGTCAGGATACAGAATTCGTGAAGAGAAACTCGAACGAATGGGATCCACAAAGCCAGAAATATGATGCAGGAGTTGGTTTGCCTCAACAGTATGATGTCTTCTAGGACCGGAATCCTCGGATTCCTTGGATAACCCGCCTCCGCCCA